GATCTCTGTCAAATAAATAAATAAAATCTTTAAAAAAAAATTTTTTTTTGAAGTAAAATTTTAAAAAGCAATATGGCATGTCTCAAAAATAGTTTACGGTAATATAACCTTGCTATCATCAATAAGCAATTATAGAATATGCACTGTATATAAATAAACTATTAATTTAATAAACAAATTATTTTATTACCCTTTAAAAAAAAACCATCAAGCTAGCTCAAATCAGAGAGCATTAGGGGCAGCTGGGTGGTTCAGGTGGTTGTCCGACTCTTGATTTCAGTTTAGACCATGCCCTCAGGGTCATGGGATCGAGCCCCACCTCAGGCTATGCTCAGTGCAGAGTCTGCTTTTTCCTTCTCCCTCTGCTCCCTCCTCCCCACATTCTAATAAATAAAATCTTAAAAAGAGAAAAAGAAAACATTATAATCTATAAAGTAATCACTATACTGTATCCCAAGCCCTGTTAAAATAATCATGTAATAAAATTCTAGTCTCAGTAATACTGATTCTCCTCATATTCCCTGGTAAGATGACGACCAGACTACCTGAAGTCTACCGATATGCTTGGCTGTCCCCAGGATTATGGTAGGTCCTATGTAAGCTAATTTTAAAAAGGGAAGGACATCAACCCATGGGAAGTTCAAAGTCCATTTAGAATGCAGAATAAGATTAAATTTAATAAAAATTCTAAAGGCATAAGAAAATATTTTTTCCAGAGATAAATACAGAAATCTTAAGAAAACCTGAAACCCTTTCTTTAATTTAAGAATTTAAAGGGATACTTTTGTTCATGAAATGACTAGCCAAACTCAGGATCACTAGATTTAAAAATAGTTTATTCAGAAAACACAAATTGGACTTCTTTCATGTAACTTTCATTTCGTTATTAAAAAAAATAGCTGAACTTTTAAACACTATCAGTTTTAGGGAAGCAAGAAAAAAGTTGAGAAAATATAATCTTCTAAAAATTACGTTTTCTGATATATTTGCTTGGACTCCAAGTCTCACATTCTTTCTACCTCACTATATTATTAAATATAGAAAAGCAAGGTCCTCACTGATTTCCTCTGGTGATTCATATTTCTGATCACAAATTACCCTATAAGTGATACCAAGATATAAACTGAAGAAAACCTTAATATCACTTTTACTTAGCATAAGTGGACCCCCAAAATCAAAACATACAAAGACATTAAAAAAAATCACAACACGCTGTTTTAGTGAAAATAGATACCTATTTCTTATTAATGTGATACAAACTTTTTGGAAAGCAACATAATCCATACATATTGTAAATCCAAACTCCATGTGTGCCAAAAGAAATCTGCCATAGGAATTCACCACAAGAAATAAAACTGGCTTACTAAAAAAGTTTCCAAAAGTATGTATACTATATAAATGGTATTGAGAGCTTGGTAATTAAAACATTCCTCCCTACATGCACTTGTACTTACGAACTATGCTACAGCAGCTAATTGTTGCTATGTTAAAAAAAAAAAAATGCTGGGGCTTCAAATCCACAAGTATTTATTTAGCTCACAATTTGGTGGGCTGACAATTCAGACTGTGCCCACTACTGCTGAGCTCACTAATGCATAAGGTCAGCTACTGGGTGGGTGGGGTGATAGCTGTCCAAGAGGGCCTCAGCTGGGATGGCTCAACTCTCTTCTATGTGGTCTCTCATCCTTCAGCTGGCTTGCCCAGAATTTTCCAACACAGCTGAGCATCCTTTTAAGAAAGCATCAATATGCAACCCCTCTTGAGGTCTAGGCTCAGAACTGACAAAGTCACATCTGCTAGATTTTATAGGCAAAATCAACTTCTGACACCTACCCAAATTTCAGGGACAGAGAAATAGATTCCTCTTAACTGAAGAACATGCAATATCATAATGTACCAGTTGTGAATATAGAAAAGGGTAGAGAATCATGACCATTTTTGCCATCTTCAGTATTACATTTGGTTTCTACCCCTCCTATATCCATTCTGCTCAAAAATGAAGACTTAGCATTTATTTCACATTGACTTAAAATATTTGTAAGTATACCTTCCAGAAAGCCTTACCTGAGCATCCTACCCAAAGGTGACATATTTTAACTCTATTTCTATAAATAATTCAATCATGATATTCTATATTCTCTTTATGATAGCTCCTACTAAACCATGAGTTTTATGTAACTAGGGATCAATCCATCTTGTTTTTTTTTCTAATACATGGATATTGCTTTCATAGTGCCTACACTGAGTACACATGAATGAATAAAGGAATTAATCCTTTATTAAATTAAAAACTCACTGAGAAAGGGCCTATCTCAATTAATTTGTATCTCCCATAACCTCTAGGTTTTTGCACATATTTAGTTTCTCTAAAAATAATTCTTAAACTACCTTTTTATAGGAAGAGCTAAAGGAGGACTTAAAGATTAAGAATTCTGGAACATATATATATATATACACTTCCTTTACCCTGCAGGATTTTCTAATGTGTTAAGGTTACATGTTCAAAAGTATGTGTAGCCATCCCAATGACATTTGAAACTTAACTAGCTGTCTGGAAATGTTGTATGGAACAGGCTGTAAACACTGACCTCAACACACTACAAAGGAGAAAAAAAAAGATAAATATGACCTTATAGCTATAAACACAACTTGTTATGTGATTCTGCCATAGCACCCCTACCCCAACCCCACAGTTAGTTGTAAAGAGCTCTGCAACTCTGGGTCTCAGTTCAACATCATTATTTCATCAGCCATTTCATTTATAATAGTCATCTTTTAATTTAATGTTATAAAACATAAAGGTTAATATCCTTAAAGAACATTTAATAATAGATCTGTTACAGTTTAATAGAATGTTAGCTTTAAATAAACAAATCTAGATTCTTTCTGCTACTTATGGGTTCTAATACAACAGAATTTGGAGAACGCAGTATTTTCTCTCTTAGGCTACAAATGCTCACTTCATTCAATAATATTTCGGGGTGATTAGCCCAAGATGATATATGCTGTGTAGAATATATATTGGTTATTGCTATTAATTGTAATAAGCTGAGAAGGAAGAAGGCTTGGTGTGATAGCAAAGGAACTTTTGTCTACGTAAGGCCTTGAATGTTAGATGGCTTATGAAACTCTACAGAGCCTAATTCCTGTTCAAGCCAGACGAAATGGTAAATAAAAACAAGTCTTGAATATCTTAAAAATATGCGCATTTCTGCCATTCCAGTGACTGCAGAGAGACCAAATCTACTCAAAAAAAGTCTAATTCCTTCAACAAAAATTTAATAAGTACCTATTGTAAGATACATTTTATTCTACGCATCATATACAACATAGCAAAAACGTCTACATATTACAGTGAAATTCAGAAAAGATTTCTAGATTAAGAAATAAACTGAAATATGTTACCTTCATGGGTATTGAACAAAGAAGTCATTACTTACAGCTATTATGAAGTAATCTGGAAAATGCCACTTAGCAATTAGGGGGGTCATATCTTATAAAGTCAGGTAAGTTATTTCCAAGTAAAAAGAGATGTGGGAAATCATGATCCTTGGATCTGATCTTATGTAAAATGAAGGAGTGCCCCATTATCAACTATTAAAGACAGGTTAGAATTAACTAATATCAAACATAATTAAGTTTCAGTATGCAGTTGACCCTTGAACAACATAGATTTGAACTGCAGGGGTTCACTATACTGGGATTTTCTATAATACTATTAATGTATTTTCCTCTTCCTTATGCTTTTCTTAATAAAATTTTTTTCTTTAGGTTACTTAAGAATACAGTATATAATTCATATAATGTAAAAAATATGTAAATTGGCTATTCATGCTATCCCTAAGGCTACCAGTCAAAAGTAGGCTATTAGCAATTAAGTTTTTAAGGGAGTCAAAAGTTGTATGTGGCTTTTTGACTACATGAGGATTGGTACCACTAAACACCTGTGTCATTCAAGAGTCAACTGCAATTAACTTATGACAGAAAAAAGATATCTTTGTACTCCATTGTACTTTGATTTTTCAAATGTTGCTAAATGCTCTTTTGGTCTACCTTGTTAATCACTCTCAATTTTTATATTTCACCTTTTCTCTAACTCATAAATAACATTACAATAAAAATCCTTAAGACTTCAAATAAGAGGAAAATATGGTTCATATATAGCATGTTCAATGACACCAAAACTATTATTGAGAATAAAATAATTTGGCTGAAAACCCAATGACCAATAGCAGCCAAAAGAGCAAACTATTATGCCAATATGCAACAGAAAAATAGACTTTGTAATGTGAGCAAATGATTTCACCTTAACAATAAAACAAAAAAAAAAAATACTGGTATATGAGCAAGGCTTAAAATGTCTAATTCTAAAACTAAACTCTAACATCAGAAAGAACTGCTATTAGTCTTACCCATCCATTCTTACAGGTCTTATTTTTTCAAGCATGGAAATAGTTCGATAGCACCAGTGAATATTAGGTTTTACATATTTTCCTATATAAAAAAAAGTTATTCTCCATATTACTGAACTGGGTCTTGGTTCTGATTTTTTGGTGCATGCATAATTACATTTTTAAGTGGTAGATTCTTTCCATTCACCTCCAAACATGCACAATAGGATACAATGTAGCAACACACAAATCAGAGGCAAATAGGACATCAATTCTGGAGAAGGTTAAGGCTAAATTGCAAACCAAATAAAGGGCAAAGTTGATGGTCAACAACTAGAAACCTACGTTAACATCAAAATGAGGTAAAGCACAGTTATTAAAGCATGGGCATGGGCTTTAGAGTTAGATCTTTGATTTGAATCTTGTGTCTACTACAGACTGGATGACCTGGGAAAGTCACTTTTTTTTTTTTTTTTTTTTAAGATGAAGAGGTGGG